GATAAGTGCATAGCAAGTAATTGGGTCTAACATAGTAAAAAGTAATGTTTTAAATAGGGTGTGGTTGGTGGGAAATGGCTGGATGCCTGGTTAGCATGGGAGAAGACAGGAAAACAAAATAACCAAGCTAGGATTATTGACACAGCCTGTGAAACAAACTTTTGCACAGATGAAAGAAATACAGTGGAACAGTTGTGACTGGAACACTAATACCAAAAATCCTCTTGTCAGAGAAGATAGGGAAAGGGAAAAGTAAAGGGTAAAGGGAAAAGTGATGCAGTCACGAAAAACCTGGGGAGAAGTGAGATGAAATAGCATGGATAAAGTACTGTCTGTGGGTCAAAACTATTTTGAGGGAGATGTTAATCGGGGCCAGCAATGTTAGGTTTGCATATGGACAGGCCAATCTTCAGTGTTACTGGGGAGAGGGATCCAGATGGAATTAAATAGTTGCTGCACAGACAAAAGTGTGATGCTATTTTCAAGATGTTTTTGATAAGTGAGTATCTTGCTGCTTTCAAAAGACGCACATTTGGGGCTTTTTTGTTTGTTTGGGGAGGGAATTTTTTCCCTAAATAATCTTGGATCAGGAGATCTTTGAGATGAAATGAAAGGAAAAAATGTTTACTTATAGATACAGTTGTACATAGTAAGGGGCATTTTTTTTTTTGAGAAAGTAAGTAAACTATTTCATCTGGAATAAAGAGGTTAAGAATAGAAAGAAGTATGTGAAGGTCTGCCATTTATTTACCTCAGACACAAAAAGCTACCTGAAGATTATATTTTAACAGAAGGGGCAAAATTTTGATGGAAGACTTAGAATCATAGAATATCTCAAGATGGAAGGGACCCATAAGGATCATTGAGTCCAACTCCCTGCTTCTTGCAGGGCTATCTTAAACTATATCACGTGACTAAGAACTCTGAGAGGCTTGGTGCTGTGACCCCTTCCTTGGGGAGCTTGTTCTGACCCTGCCTGTCTGACCACTGTCTCAGTGAAGAACCTTTTCCTAATGGTTGGACTCAATGATCTTAAAGGTCTTTTCCAACGTAAATGATTCTATGATTCCAATGTCCAGTCTGAACTTCCCCTGACGCAGCCTCATTCCATTTCTTCATGTCCTATTGCTGGTCAGCAGAGAGATCAGCACCCCCACCTCCGCTGCCCAGACCAGTAAGTAGGTTGAGAAATCAAATAGCATTACATCGCAAGCAAATGATACCTCAGTGACCAGAAACCGTAAGGGCATAATAGTATTTCCAGAGACTGAGTACAGAGGTAGGGTCTGGAGAAAAATAAAAAGCTATTAACTCTGTCAGCCATAGAAGAAAAGGACAGAAAAAATGTGGGGAGGATAAAGAGATTGAAATTTAGGTAGGCTCAAAATAGAAGCTGGTATTTTATCATCAGGACCATAGTGATGTTATACATATGTTGAACATAGAGGCAAAGCAAGGATGTGCAATGGGAATGAATGTATGGAATTGATATCCAAGGTGGAAAAAATCCTTTACGAACTTCCCGTACTCAGGTCATGGATAATTACCAGCTGAGATTGATTAGTAAAGCTCTAGTCTAATCATTTCAAGTGAACATGGTATATTTATCCCAAACACAGGCTGCTTATTGTACTTCTTAATCTCTTACCAAAGATTTAAGTATGAGATGGAGATAATGAATTGTAGTTTCTAGAGCTGTCTTTTCCTGCTTTCATGTGGCAATAATGTAGTCTTCGCTCATGATATAAAATTCCATCAAAACCTTCTGCCCTGGTGAGACCCCACCTGGAGCACTGTGTCCAGTTCTGGGCTCCCCAGTTCAAGAAGGATGAGGAACTCCTAGAGAGAGTCCAGAGGAGGGCAACAAAGATTATAAAGGGACTGGAGCATCTCCCCTATGAGGAAAGGCTGAGGGAGCTGGGCTTGTTTAGCCTGGAGAAGACTGAGAGAGGACCTCATCAACACATACAAATATCTTAAGGGTGGGTGTCATGAGGACAGAGCCAGACTCTTTGCAGTGGTGCCCAGTGACAGGACAAGGGGCAATGTGTACAAACTGAAGCATAAGAGGTTCCTGTTGAACATGAGGAAGAACTTCTTGACTTTGAGGGTGCCCGAGCCCTGGCCCAGGCTGCCCAGGGGGGCTGTGGAGTCTCCTTCTCTGGAGATATTCAAAGCCCACCTGGATGCTGTCCTGTGCCCCCTGCTCTGGGTGAGCCTGCTTGAGCAGGGGGGTTGGGCTGGGTGATCTCCCGAGGTCCCTTCCAACCCCTGCCATTCTGTGATTCTGTGTGATAACCTTCTATGTTTTTGTTGTTTCCAGACCATATTAGTGTACCTCTCTGAACTGAATTTTTTTTTTTATTACTTCAAAACTTGTAATCTGTGGCAGCTCAGGCCTTGGGGAACAGGTGTGTTACATGGGGGGTGTGTGTGATCTGTTATGCTTAATGTTTCCTAATGTTGCATATGTAAGAACTCATGTATCACTTACAGTTGTGAATTTTAGTTGGTTTCTGCTATAGTTCTATTTAACAACTTCCAAGGCAGGAATTTGAGGCTCAGGTTAAACCAAGACACCAAGTCTTATGTCTTTTGACTGTGTTGCAAATATTCTATATTTACATCAGGATTTTTTTTTTTTTTTACATTGTATTTATCTTGAAGATTATTAATGAGAAAGAATGCTCTCTTGGCAATGCTGTCTTGCTCCTTTTATTGATTTATTGTTCTGTGATTAGATATCAGCTGTGCAATAAGGTTAAGATTTTCATTTTATCACCACTGTACAACTCAAATTATAATTCTTCAAGCATAATTCAGAAACATAAATTCAGCAATTTTTTAGTAACTTATTTTCTATATTTCACTAGTAGGCAGAACTATCAGAGCTTGTTTTTTCAACATAGGAGAGAGTGCATAAACCATGGATTTTAGTAACTTAAGTTCATTAGCGTTTATACTTTCTTAGGGAATGTGTAGTATTCATATGTTCTACCTACATTTTCAGTTTTTGTTGGAACTCTGAACAGAGTACATTATTTGTTTTGGGAAGGGAGAGAATTCTACTTGCTACTAGTCATATTCTCCTACAACATGTCATTTACATTAGGCTTTTCTGCTTAGGAAGTGTAGAAAAAATATGGCCACAAATTTTCCAATAATATATATTGCTTTTGAAAAACTGTTTTTCTTTGAATTCCAGTTTTTCTTGTTGAACAAAGAAATGTAAAAAAGCTAAAACAAGAACAAAGCGTTTTGACTGACTTAAAACATTTTCTGCCTTCCATCTCCTGATGGCCTCAAAAAATTATTTTGCAGGACATTTAGGATTTTCTGGCTTTACTTAGGCTTACAGCAATTATTATTTTTAAATTTTCCAACTGTAGTTTACTACTTTGTCTGGTCTTGTAAAACGGTTACACAAGGAATTGGACAAGTTTTCAGTTTAATTTTTGTTGCAACAGAATACAGAAAAATGTAATTCTGCCTAGCATTAGAACATTTCAGCAGAACTAAAACTGCAAAATATGATTGTTATACAGTTTGTAGCTAAGTAAACTCTGTAATTAAATAGTATTATTTTAAAGGTTTTGTTTGAATTTGACTCCTTTTGGATTGCTTGGGACTGTGTAAAGGAATGTGATTTTTATAGGTCTGTCCCTTTCCTCACTACAAATATACCTCAGCCATTTTCTTGGGGTAAGTTTCTGGATAATCTATAGGAACAGGTCTCTGGAGATAATTTTATGAGAGAGAATGTGAATAAGATTGAATATTTTGAATATTAGTGTTTAAAATTAGGAGGTTATGCATGGATTTAAAGCCTAAATTATTGCTGCCTGTTCTGATTTTTTTCCTATTAAAAGAATGAAGCCACCTAATAAATCTCACTAACATCAATAGGAGTTACAAGTTGCTTAGCAGTTTAAATCTTGTAACTGATTATTTCAATTTTACGCAACTATTATTTGCATTATCGATACAGGTTGGGTAGCCAACAGTTGGATTTAAAAAGAGAGCGAAAGAAGCAAGCCTATCCAATTTTTCCTTTTGTTTGGGAATCTTTGCATTCATTTTCCATTCTGAGAAAATTCTGAGAACCTGTCTAGCTCCTTCTATAAATCTTTGACTGACTTATATGCAAGACTTGGATAGATAAATCACGTGAAGGCAAGTAATTTAATGTTACCTTATTTATACCTCTGGCCTTAAATTTCCTAGTTCAGTGATGACTGGCATTTGAAAAGAGTTTTTCCCTTATCTTCATATTTTTAACCAACTTTCTGGCTATAGCTACCTTTAGTATTTTATTTTTCTGCTATTGGCTTTTGATTCAAGTAACTTCATAGTGGATTTTCAGAGAAAAAAATAGTGGTGAAGCTGCTGCACTTTTGCTATACAAAAGTTACCATTCTCTTTCAAAGGGTTTCAGAAAAAATAATTTCAACGACCCAAAGCTCCAACAAAAGAAGAAAAACCCTGAATAGAATTGTACTCTAAGCCACAGTAATTTATTCTATATAAGAACTGTGTTTCCAAAAGCATGGTCTACTATAATATGTTTGTCTTCCTTTTTAATAAGAAATTTCATGCCTAAAGCACATCAATACTGGCTTAGGGAAAAACTAGCTAAAGGACTGAAATGCATTAGGCAAGGTCACTTAAATATTTGACAGTTTTACTCTGCAAGTCTTTGTTTGGGATTGTAAATTTTATTCTTATTCCTGTTACATGCACTTTGAAATTTGAGATTCTTCAAAGCTGTTTTATTTATTATTAGCTGCAATAAAGAGTTTTTACATAAATGTTTATTACATTTTCTTACATGGAGTAATAAAAAGACTTGTAGCATATTATGGTGTAAGTTTACTGGCATTTAGTCTTATCTTTAATATCATTTCTCCTTTATGTCAAGAATGCCTAAAATCCTGAATGCTTTACGGTTTTTTTAGATTGATTAATTAAATACTAAATCAGGATATACTTTGCATTTACAGGCACTTGCAGACCAATTTGAAGATGCAAGTACGTTGGTATCTGAACGCATGAAGATTTTCTACTGTTGTCAGGTGCCTCCACATTGGGCCATACAGGTGGGAAGCAATTCCATTTGAAACTTAAGAGTTCTTATTATTTTTGGTACTACATGACTCAAAGTCAAGAGTGTGTGATATGATCTTGAGATGAAACACAGTAGAAGTAAAGATGTAACCTAACAACACACTAGTTTTTTCTGGAAAGAAATCAAGTTCTAGACTGTTTTGCTTTCAGACGTCTTGTTCTGTCATGCACAGAAGTAATTGCTTGTAGTGGAATTCTTCTTTACTTTCTTTTTTCCTTGAGTAAAAAATGGACCAAAACGTTCAAGCTTCCAATGTATCTCCAGTAAAAATAATCTTGCCACTGTCTTACTATTTATTACTGTTTTACTTATGCTACTATTATTTACATTTTTCTCATCTTTTAATAATTACTCACTTTGGGTTGTTTTCAGGAAGTGGATCATAGTCTAAGCAGCCAAATTAGGAGTCAAAAGTACACTGAAGAACTCCTTGAGCTGAGAAAAGTTTTTATTTTAAAGACATGCCACTTTTTACTACTGCTGACAGGATTATTTTATTTTTTCCCAAAACTACACTGTTTAACTTTACAATAAACTCTTTCTAGAAATCTACACACTAGAGTCTTATCTGATGATGATGTATTTAATAAACTTAAGAAAACTGTTTGCATCACATACCTCCAAAGGTGTTCATGTTGTTTACTATTAATGGTGTTTTATTCCTTTTTGATTTCTAACCTCAGTGCATGTTGCTTTAACCAGTCATATCTTCTCCTAGCCTTCTCAAATTATTTCACATAACCTTTCAACAGGCACTTGCAATAAAACTAGCAAATGTGGTTTTCATTTCCAGTTGTCAGTGGCACTTCTCAATCCAAGCCAATTTTCCAAGCCAAAGATAGAAATACTAAAATAGAGATTTATAATGGCAGATGGCTGCAGTCTTCTAGTCATAGTAATGAAGAGGCATTGCCTATACAAATTTTACCAAATTTGACTCTGAGTATGTTTAATAAAACATAAGTAAGATTTAGTTCCAGACACTGGCAAATACAGGCTTTTTCCTAAGCAATTGATATCAAGCTAACAAATAATTACTTTGTTACAGATTTTTCAGTTTGTTATGTATTTATGTCAAAGAACTGTAGCCAGTTCTTAGTTTTTTGACTACCAGTCTGTTCCTGTATGGTCACTCCTTGGACTTGTAACAGATACTGAACCCAAGCCTATAAACAGAGGTCCATGACAACTAAGGAGAGCTTCAGGGAATCCATTCAGGATCACCAAAAACACTGCAGAAGTTCATTGTATGAGAATGAGATCTCATAGCATAATTAGTTGTCCTTATACAGAATGCTCCCATTTTTTTTTTGCAAACCAAATCGTACGTGTCACATGTAGTAAATAAGTTATCCTTTCTTCAAAGATGAAAACCTAGGCATGTTTTTAATCTCTTCTTAAAAAATAAACAAAAGACCAAAGACAACTTTTCAAAGTCATGAAAATATACCTTGTTTGTTTTTATATTGAAAAGATTACTCATTTATTTTCATAAGTACACTGAAATAATAGTTGAAATTGAAATAACAGAGACTGACTTATCTGTGAGGAAAACTCAACTAGGGAGTTGAACCTGAACTGAAATCCAATATTAGTTTGATTAAAAACTGACACCCTTTGGCAGTGGCTGTTTGGGACAGTGATTTCTCACAAGTACTTAACAAAATTCTATCAGAGCCTTTCTCTCCATCTGTATTGTCACAGGTACAGATTACTATGGCGAAGCATTGGTGGAAGAGGTTTTAATGCCCTCCTTCAGCCTCTGTTTCCCACTCTTGGTATTCCCAACACCCTGCTGCAGCTGTTCTCCAGCTGCATGGGCCATGTGCCTCATTTAAGGGGTGGAAGTTGAGCTCTGTCAGTTCATCCTTGGCATATCTGTTTCCATTTTCCATTATATTATAAACTAGTTCAAAGTAATTAAGCTGCTGACACGAACAAAAGTCAAATCAAAACAATTATTGTTCTATTGATGGGGTTTTTTGAGGTATGCACATCGTTTGAGGCTCCAGCTTGAAGTTTCAAGAGAATTATTCCGTATTCTCTGTCTGCTTGTTGTTGATGTCAGAAATGCCTCTAACATCTTCTAAAAACATAAATAGTATTCACTTACCTATTTTCAGTTACCTGGAATTTCTTATCTTTCCAGCGTCAGCTTGCAAGCTTACTCTTTGAGCTGGGATGCACCAGCTCTGCCTTACAGATATTTGAGGAGCTGGAAATGTGGGAAGATGCAGTCGTCTGCTATGAAAGAGCAGGACAGCATGGAAAGGTAAGAAAAATATTTCTTTACAGCTGAGATCTTGTCTTGAAATAGGATCTGAAATATGAAAGACTGACTTGAGCTGTCAATTCACTAATGACACTCGCTTCTACAGGGGTATCGTGAGGAAAGTCCGTTTAGGAAAAATGGATGCATGACATATGAGTCTGTCATAACCCCTGAATGCAAGAAAAGATGATTTGGGGTAATGAGCACATGAAATCAAAGTTGGTAAATGAGAAATAATTTAGGAAGCAAGAAGATGGTGATAGTGATTCTTGAAAATATTCAGAGAAAATTAACAACTGTGGATGCACAGCAAGGTGTAATGTGGGCATTTCGAGAAAGCTGTAGCAGTCATTCATGATGGGGTCTTGGAGCTTTGTCTGGAGGGGTTATTAGTTTCCTTTCCTACTTAATTTCAAACTGTTAACTGTAGTTTTTAAAAACACTTGAAATAGAACATCATCGGTGCTTGATGTATTTAATTACCTAACATTATCGTATTCAAATTACATAATGAAGCATTTGAGACAGGAAGTGGTGTAAGATTAAAAGGCTTTATTTTGTTAAGTCTACGTTGCTGTTTTCCTGAACTTCTCCATCATTTCTATAACACTGCAGCTGCATGTGATCAGCTAGCTAGCAGCGCTCCTGTTGTTGATTATTTTGCTGTTACTATTAGAGCAATGGTAGGAAGATTTTAGAAGATGATACCTGGAAGCAGTGCCTACTTGTGCATAACTTTAACTGTGTCCTCTTTTTCGTTCCATCTCTCACGCATAAAGACTGTAACAGGACCTCATGCTATCAAGCGTTGTTTTCAGAATTTATATAGTTCTCAGAAATGCTCACTTTCAGACAAAAATGTTTTTTCTTCTCTTCCCTGTTCTCTCCTGCTGTTTGTTATATGGTAGCATTAAATGCATGAATACATGTATGCCTTTATGAAGACAAAATCACAAAGACTGTGCTTAGACTAATTTAAACTCACAGAATAGAAAGTTATAACTTAATTATAGTTAATCGAAGTTTAAATAATTAAAGTTAATCAAAGAAATGCAGAATTTCTCATGCTTACATATTTTTTCTAATTATCGTGCACCAGTGTCTAGATTTTGGTCATTATAAACTGACAGATATGTTTTGCCGGCAAATTCCGTGTCACATTATGCATGCCTCGGGGATAATATGCTAATATTCCAATCTTTTTCAGTACAGGGGAGAAATAGAGGTCAATATTTTCCATTTCCTGGAAATGCATTCTGTCCTACTTATATTCACAAACTGCCCTTAGGGAGTTATGGAAATGGCAGTCGGAGAATAGGACAGGATATCTGACACAGGAAACTGCTTAGAAATGCTTTCAGAATGAGGGTTTGTGCTGGGCTTTGAAAAATAGAAAATGCTATGTAAGTGCTAAGTAACAGTAGTGCTGGAAAAAAAGCTAGCTTCATATCAAAAAAGCCAGAAAATTAGAAACATTTAACTGTACGCCAAGGGGAGTGACTATTCGTGCCCCTTATCAGAAAGCTTTCAGAGCTTGAACTGTTTGTATTTATCAGAAATGTTTTTAAACCTGGTACTTACTCTTTTAGAAATGCACGAGAATCTACTATAGCAACGTGTTGTTCAGTGGATGTTCATGTCATTAAAGAACTTTACATATATGTGCCCAAATGACCAAACTCTGTTAAATAAACTTCTGCATGTGTTTCACTCACAAATGCTTTTATATAAAAACCTGAATTTAAATACTGAAAAATCTAATAAAACAGCCAGATATCAGCACTATCAATGCATTTGATGAGTACTTACGCATCAAAGTAATATGTTCTTTCCTCCTACTTTTGAATTAGGCACTGACAAAGAAACAGAGCGTGTAGATAAAGCTGTGCAAAGCTCCATGTTATGTACTTGGGAAATAAATAAGTCACTCAGTTATAGCAGGGCCATGTAGCAGTACAAATTTTGCAGACTAAGATGTCACTAACATTTTTTGTGGATCTTTTAACTCTATACTCACTTGTTTTATAATCTGAAGAAAATTAGTAGAAACTGGTAACATGAGTCAATAGAAGAATAACAGAGTGCCAAGTGATGAGCAAAGCAGGGTACAGAACAAAAAAAAAAAGTATTATAAAATTTGGATACACAGTATGTGATAGTTGCTGTGGCTTTCTCATTCCGATCTTTTACTGATCGTATTCCTTTTACAGACTTGTTGCAAAAGCAGATGCTAATCTCTGTGTGTGTAGTGAGAACTGGTGTTGAAAAGTGTCCTCTCCCTTCTTTTAGCTGTGAGGGGGACCCAGAGATCTCGAGAGTATTGTTTACATTGGACAACTTTATTTGGTTAAGGTGTAAGAGATGTCTTCAACTTCACTGGGAATAATAAACTAAAATGGTTCTGTTTCCCTGCCAAAGCAAAAAGAAAGGATAAACTGGAGATACGAATTTTCAGTTCTTCCAGTTGAAATGAGGCCTTTCTCCCTTGCAGGAGCTCTAGAGCATGGTAGCTGCTGACCCTTGATAAATTTATGAGATCTACCTTTTAGCATCAGCCTGGTATTCCATCTTGCAACCCTGTTTTCAGCCTTGTGCCTGTTCAGTCATCTCCTCAGAGTAAACAGCATGGTGCACAGTCTGGTTTTAGACCAACATACCCAGTAGTCCACGTTCTACAGTTATTTTTCTTGTCATGACATGATACAGATCTCTCCAAAACGTTTGAGCGAGGAAACACAATTATGGTAAGATCTCAGAAGCTCACGTTTAAATTCAGGAAACACTTCCCAGAGGCAAAGTCGAGTGGTAGTATACTGACTAGTGTGTGAGATGGTTCAAGAACGTGGTTGATTTCCACTACATATCATAACAGACCTAGAAGGCAGGTAAGCACTCCTATATGTAGCTACAAAACTGAGAAAGAGGAGTAAATGGCTTGCCCAAGGTCATGCATGAAGTTACAGGGGAAGATGGAATGAAAACCGAAGAGCTCTCCTTTTCTCTCATGACTTCTTTCCATGCTCACCTGTTCTGCTTCTTCATGCTACTTCTCCAGTAGCCTAGCAAAGAACGTGCAAGCAGAAAAGATGAAAGCATTTTAGGAAATAATTTGAACTAGCAAAGGAATTAATTATCAAATAATAGAACTGGTAGATCCCTGAAGAGTGAGGCTAATAGAGTCTTTTAGGAAATAAATAAAATAGGAGCATGGGAACACAGCAAGTGGAAGTTTAGGATTGGGAAGCCAAATGCAGGATGAATCTTGGACTTGTTTTCCAAGAGTCTCTGTAGTAAGTACTAAAAAGGCACCACCTTTTATTAAGTACCAAACCCTCTTCACTAATAGTAGATTTTTGTGAAGAACTGCCTGTTTAATTCCCATGCCAACTGTATGTTTTCTCATGTTTAGATCAACTGACTTTTGAACTGAGTATTCCATCCATTCTGGTGCAGACCATTCTGTCAAAAGCAGTGTTACAAAAATTAAATGTTTCAGTCAGCAAGGGTTATACAGCTTAATTTTTTTTATTTTTAGGTAACTTTTAATTGATAATTTCCTTCTCAAAGCTTGTTTAATTTAGTTACAATTTTTAATTGTAAACCATGCAAATTAATCATTAACATCTGTTTAAGGGGTAGGAATACATCTCTAGTGGCTATATTTCTTTTATGTACATTGCGTGAGCTGTGTGGAAAATATTTCTTGATAATATTTTTTGTTGCTAAGAGAAGATTTGCTATTTGCAGAAGTAGGCTTCTTATCAAAGATTAAATGTGCATTTTTGAAAATAGTTTCCTATGAAGTCAGGAGAAAGGAGTATTTTTCTTCACAAAAACCTAGGCAAAATGAGAAATCCTGTTTTAAAGTATAATCTGGTTTTGCAGAAGACAAATGAAAAATGTTTTGAGAATACCATTTATTTTTTTTTCATTTGTAGTTATGATGCCCTTTGTATTAGGCTTTAAAGATTTAAATAATAAAAAGGTTTGTAACATGCCAGAGAGGTGATCAGATCGCTAATCAGATGAAGAAAAAGTCAGACTTCTGCTTATTTAATTCTCTTTTATCTGTGCGCTGAAATATTTGTGTTGGCAATGAATTCTTGTAAGCTTAGACCAGAACATGATGGTTTTATGCTCTTAAATGTGAAATGCAAATAGTGAATGGTTGGCCTTCTAGTCTAGTGTGTGATTAGTACTAGTCACTGTCACAAAATAGCAATCTGAGCTTGGGAGTGCCCTGCAGAGGAAGAGGTAAAGAAGCAACATGCAATGCCCTTTTCACCTCGTAGCTGCCGTTCACATAGCAACACTTCAGTCTTTTTTTCTTTATCTGAAGGGGAAAAACAGCCTTACCTTTCGGTGCCTAATGTGATTACTGCAATAACAAAGCACCCAGTTCTCTCTGGTCTAGGAAAAAAAAAAAAAAATCTTAAAGATCTTTATTATTAATATGTGTTCCTTTAATCTTGTCATAGCAACTAATGGAGGCAGGGAAGGGGAAGTAAACTGGCCTTTAACCAAACCCTCTGCAAGTACAGTCATCTTATTAGGGGAGGTTTGCTAGTGCTTTGACTGGGCTAATTCTACATTTTAAGTAATAGTTTCTTTGGCTTTCTTTGGAGAACTGTTCTGTAGGCACTTAAAAATACTTGCCATTAAGTTATTTTCCAAATATTCAGCCACTAATTTTCTTCTTAATGTGATTCCATTTTTGCCAGTTTAAGATCCCTTTAGAAATCTAAACAATACATCCCTTCTTTACATTTGTGCACTTGAAATATTTGTAGACTTACTGCTACTTTTTTGATTAAAAACGATAGTAAGGATGAAGTGTTAAAATTGCTATACATTAACTATTTCAAAACAAAGTAATTTTTCTAAATATGATTTTCAGACAGAATCAATGCATTTTACTGATTGGAGGAAGAGGAGTAAGAGACTTTGATTCTCTAGAGATCATCTGAAGGGCAAATAAAACAGTCCTTACAGAAACAAGAAAAGCAGCAATAATTTAAATGCAGAGATGAACTTGGCTTTCCTCTTAAATAAACTAGCTATGGTAGAAGAACTAGTAGTGTTAAAATGTCAAACTTTAGTTCTGTGGCAGGCTGCGTCAAATCTTTCTTGGTTCAGATGCTTCAAATAGATCTTCTAATAGACAAATTATACTGAGCTGCATTATGTAAGTTACATTTTTGCAGCAGGGGACTGAGGTAAGAGTTTGGTCTGAACAACAGATCATCTGTCCAGTGTATTTATCTTTTCAAAAAGCCACAGAAAACAGACTATCTCTTGTTTAAAAGAGAAACAATAATTTGATTGTTAGAGTGAGATAGTGACCCCGAGATAAAGAGCTTTTGAAAGTTGGTTACAGCCCAAAATACATGTCTGGGAGCCCCAGCTTGTGTCATCTTTTCATAATGCTGTATCTATTCTGAATATATTTTATCTCAAACATTTAGATAAACTTATAATTTCTGTATCTAATGTAAAAAAGTAGCATTTCCAAAATGAACAGTATGAAAGTAGATGTTTCTTCAGACATAATAGGATGGAAAGAGTTATTTTCAGAAAAGAGCAACTAGAGAAAAAGGAATGACAGTCATTGCAAGAGTACTTATTAGGTTTTTAAAAAAACCCACAGATTATAAACTATTAGGATTGCACATACCTTAATGGTGCTGATACTGCATTGGTATGAGGTGGGCATAGGTTTGACGTCCAGGGCTGATATTTACTCTTGGGACAGAATACACACCTAAGATTTAAAATGAGGAGCAAGCTGTTCCTCGTTTTAATGGGTACATTTCCCTTGGTGCATTAAACCGAAAGCCACCATATTATGTTGATGTTGAAGTGTGTTTTTTTTTAAACCAGTTTGGAACCAGATTCTCTTTAGACATTATCTTTGATGCTGTGTTGGATCAAGATACTGTTTCCTTACTATGCCTACTTCTTAGTCTTCAACTGAGGTATTTGTTCAGGTAGGTGATTAACTGACAGTAAATTGTCCCATTATGTATTCAATTCTCTTTGTTCTTTAACAGGCAGAAGAAATACTCAGGCGGGAGCTAGAGAAAAAGGAAACACCAGGATTATATTGTTTGCTTGGTGATGTTCTTAAAGACCACCAGTACTATGACAAGGCCTGGGAGCTCTCCAGGCACCGCAGCGCCCGTGCCCAACGCTCCAAAGGCCTCCTCCATCTCCGCAACCGGGAATTCAGGGAATGTGTGGAGTGCTTTGAACGTTCCGTGCAGATCAACCCTATGCAGGTTGGGAAATGATACACATATGGCTTTGTTTTAGTTGTGTTCAGTTTTGAATGATGACACACTTTTTTAAAAGGCAGTTCTGCGCACAAATGTCTAAGTAACAGCTTAGTACTATTCCTAGCAAATTTTTTACCACATACTTGGAGCCTGGCTACAAACAGTAGCATAGTAAAATGAAGACATCCTTTTGCATTCAGGTCCTTGCATGTAGCTAACTCTTTGCCTGTACTGCTCTTCTATTTTAAAGAGATCAAGCTATTCAAAACTAATAATTATTATCAAATGAATCATGAACAAGTGTCAAGCAAAATACTTATAAGAATGCTGCACAGATTTTAATGAAATTATCCTTTCACCTTGTCTGTTGGCTTTGAGTTACCAACTCTGATCTTTGTATTTCACAGAAATCTTTTTCAAGTGTTCTGGTCTGTCCTGCTCTGGAGTCGCTGAGAAGCATTGTGTTACACTTGTGATGACAGTAGCTTTTACTACAGTAATTCATCAAAACTGAAACCACAGTCAAAAGACTTCTCTTGATGAAGCTGGGTATTTTGACAGATCCTTTGCAAGCTGTTCCACACAAAGTTTTTGTGATCTTGTTTCCATTTCTCAGCCACTATATCCTGTCCCTGTGAAAGGTCTTGAGAATTTAAAACAGCTTTGTGGGGTTTTATGTATATAAATTGTGCTTTTCATAGCCATTTCCAGGTCCATGCAAAAGTAGGATATTCCTTCTTGCCCTCCAAAGAATACTGCCAAAGCTGCTGGTTTGAGTTCCACATAACTAGCTGGATTGTAGAAAAATTTTAAAGGCCTCCAGCCTTTCAAATCTTAATTCTGAAACTTTTTTGTATTTCAATGATGTATTTTATTCCAGCGAATCAGAGTCCTGTTATTATTATAGTGAACTCCAGATAATTAATAAACACCTTTAGAATGGAAAGCAAAATGAAAAAAAAATGCTTCCCTTGTCTTTCATTTCTCTTACTGACTCAGGAAACGCCAACAAAATATATATTCATCAGAAATCTTACTGAAATCAAGAGTACTCCTGGATAATGAAGAGCTTCAGAGGATGGCCTACAGGGCTCAAAACTGAGAAATACTCTGCTGAGATGCTTTTTTATTTTGCGTCCTATCCAAAGGAAGCTCAAAATAAAAGACAATCCAAGAAAAATAGGCCAGGCCATATAGGAAGGCGAACATTTCCTCCTCTTGTTGCTCAGGAAGCTCTATTTAAGATACAGATGAATTGTTTCAACCAAATAGGTTGAGCAAATGGATAGTGTGGATTGACAGATCACTGTCTTCTAAAGTCTATCTGTATATATTTCACTATAGAAATGACTTCTTTCCTACTCCAGGACGTCTTGTGGACAAAGAGCTGGGAGGAAGGTCATTCTAGATGCAAGGACTTGAATACAAGGAAAATATTAATAAATTGTTCACAGGATTGTGAATAATTTATCAGGGAAACAAGGACTCCCTATTATAAATAAATTCTTTTGGGTTTTTGTGGTCGTCGGAAACCTTTTTGGGGGAAGGGATTTTTGCACTGCAGCAAGTGATTAACCAAAACATCTAATGGATAAAACCATTCTCCATCAACCCTCCTTTAATCTTGTGTACTCTTTGGCCAACTGGTCAAATTTGATTGAGGTCTCTGAGTGTAGGTCTTTGCAGTATGAGCCAATCACTAAATTAGACTTTGGAAAACCCACAAAGGAATTAGTCTTACAGTTCGAATATATCTGAAACTCATCTTCACTAGCACTGCTGCTCACAGAATTACTTGTTCTAGTATGTGCCTAGTGGATGACAGCTGCATTTCTCTTGCACTTTCACTGAAAGCATCTTGCAAGGCTGGACTGAGACAATTCCAGAGATCAAAGAGCTTGTGCAGCTGCTTCTCCAGCGGTGAAAGTCTGCATAACAAAACTTACGTCTTGTTAAATTACAGATTTGGTGGTTGTTGTGCTGAACTTGAGCAAGACAAGTGATGTCTCTCCAGTTTGGGAAACCAGTCAGACTAGAAGTCAGCTTGCCATCAACTATCTCTAGAATTTAGATTTTTGGACAATGCAATGAGAGCCTTATTCTCAACAATTCTCCTTCTCATTCATCTTGTAATAGTAAAAGTAACTTAAACAAGAGTTGAGCTAGAGCCTGTCATTGGAAAGATTGTAGAAGTCTCCATACTTAGTTGAAACTATCATACGTTCTGTCAGTGTGGTGTGTTCAAAAGAAACTGAAATATAAGGGAGATTAATTATGCCAAAACCCAAGTAATTAAAAGGTGCTCAGCTAGGTTTTTGCTCAACTAGAGCTCTTACAATTTTATTGTAATTACTAACTCCAAAGACTAATTTTGCTCTGCAGGGTATAGATTGTTTGTAAAGTAACACTGCTGTACTCCTAAGCATATTGTACTGAAGAGATTACTGGATTCTGGAAAAAAAAAAATCTATATGTATTTGCCATATGCAAATAGTAGAAATTGCTTTAAGAATGCAAGAAGTTTCTTCAGATACATGATTTGGGTTTTTTCTTTTTAAATATTCAGCTACACGGTAATTAGGTTATTTTGGAACCATATTACCGCTAATATGAGAGAATTGTTTAGACTTTCTTAAAGCATTTCATAATCATTTAGGCTTCTTCAAGACTTGCCTAGAAATTCCTGATGGCAAGTTTTAACAAAGGGTCGAAGCCTAAACTATCTCCCTTTGCTGGTCACTGTCTTCAGTTTTGAAAAGGATAAAAATTTACAGCTCATTTTCATGTGTTTTTCCAATCAGTAGCGACAATTGAACCTCTAGCCAACACACTTTTTTTTATTTCCAAAAAGGAACTTTAACCTAGCTTCAGAGGCCTTGACAAAAGCCTTTTTTGAACTTTGGACAAAGTTTTCTTAGTTTTTAACATAGCTTTTTTCATTTTAAGTAGCTCTGAAATTTAACATCCTCTGTATTAAATGAGTTGCCTTTTTTCACAAATGGCTAATGAATCTTTATATCTAAAAAATTTAGCCTTGGAATTGTATCCATTATGGTGTTTACTAAGCTATGTTGAATAATTGCAATCTCCCTGTGTTTTCTGGGATTTCTACTTTCACAGCCTTCTGATATCCCCCAGTATGTTACCTTATCCATTTTAGTTAAGTATTCCAAGATACAGTCTTTATACTACTTTTTTAATGAGGCCTGAAATTTTAATCCATACCAGTTCTGTTGTTCGTTTACACAGTTATTTTTCATATGATTGATGCTGAAATTTTCTTTAACATATAGCAACATTCTTCCATCTGTGTGACCTGTTCAATTTTCTGTATACTTTTTGCCTCCATATTGTAGCATCTCAGCTCCTTGACTTAATTCCCACCCCAGAGACTTTTCATGTCACTCTTGTCTGCTAAAGGATCCCTTTTGGACACCTTTCCCAACCTTATCCATCACATCCAGTTCTCTCATTCTTTCCATTCAGTTGAAGCCTTCATGTGTTGTTACTACTAGGCAAAATATCTTGTTTCAAATTATGAAGAAAATTATTTACCATTTTTGCAGTCACTCTATGATTTCTACTAGGTACCTGCTCATGTAACTTTTCTCCGCAGAAGTAAAGAATCTTTTTTCTTTCTCCTTGTGCTGTAACTTTTCCTTGAGAAAGGAGTTGACAAGTTTAAGCATTGGTAAGCCAGTTCCTGAGAGGTGTAGCTGCTCACCATCAGCCTCAGAAAATTAAAACGGTGGAAGCTTTAGTCAAATCAGATTCTGGAAGGGCAAGCTCAGAAGTGAGGCTGTGCTGCTGTTACTCATTAGAATTATAAAAAATGCAATGATTCTTTTTTTTCTTCACCTTTTACAAGAACACTGTTTAACTTGTATCCTGAGCTATAGAGTTGGGGGATTGCCTTCAATTTTATATTTGATCGGTTCGTGTCTCTACCTCTGCTTTTCGTGTCCAGAAAGTCATAGATGTAGAAAGAAGAGAAAGGGAAGTTAAGGAGGTAGCAGCCATGTGGGAGTGCTGGACTTTTCAAGATGTCTGATTAATCTTTATATCCTCTTAGGTTTTGGGGACTAGTTTTGAAGCAAGCAGTTCTGATAACTCAGGTTCTTCATAGGATATCATAGTGGCTATTTAAAAACAAAAACGTCACCGTAAGAAACATTTGCAAATAAGGGACTTACAGGGTTGTGGTGCAATATAAATTAGAGTTAACATAACCTGTTTTTCCATCTTGCTCTTCCCAACTTTTTCCCCTCTCAAAAAATTTTCCAAGAGAACCTATTTATGTTTCTTACCTTGGCATTTAGAATGGAGAAACGGCTGAGGCTATTGCAGTAGGTGGTACTACCTGGCATGATTTTGTGGCATGTTATGAAATGTTCTGTTGGATTTTGACTGCATACATTTTAACAGCATAATGCTGTCAGAAAATGTTCTGTGAATGTACTTGGGATTTAATACTTTTCTGAATGACAGACCTTTTCTAAAAGGTAGTAGTGCTTAACTTGCAGCTCTCTAAGAATTAACTGTGTGGCAAATCAGAAACTTGCTGTTGAAGAGCTATGAGAATACATGTTTAATTTGCTGTAATTTATGCTTATATCTGATATTATTTGAGTCTGTATGGATGAGAGGTATTTGTTTGTAACAGCTGAAGACTTACAATGCAAGGTTATTGAACTGGTAAAGTTCTGTTCTCTACACAAGGCATCAAAGTAGATTTCTATCTCTAAACATTGCATTATAAACTAGAGAAGATTGATATACTGACAAGTAGTAAGAGCTATAATTCTGAAATGTTCATGTTCAGTCATTAGAAATGTTTCTTGTAAAAATGTGATTTCCTTGAAATACATTTCCTAGTATTTACCATTTGACCTAATTGTAATACTATAAAGTGAATGTGCATTTTTCATAAATTAAAGCAAAATATGCAAACCTCTAAATAGCTATCACTTTCTTCTCTAAAAGAAGATGAGCTGTTAAGAGAGCGTTTCACATATGGTTTAAGTGGTCTTTATATAGTCAATACCTTTGTTTATCCATATTTATTAAAACTTTTAACCTCAAATTTTCCTATATTCTTTATACAGGATATTATTTATTCCAACGTGGTACTATTATGCTAGCTGAAAATCAGGAAAAATAAACAAGAGTAGTGTGGTTTTGAGCATCCAGGCAAAATTATTTCTTTTGTGCAGAAATATGTATGTGTATATATATGTAATCACCCTTTTTTTTCTCTCCAGCTAGGTGTATGGTTTTCCTTGGGCTGTGCATACATTGCTTTAGAAGGCTACGAAGGTGCTGCCAAAGCATTTCAGCGCTGTGTGACATTGGAACCAGATGTATGTACTTTTCAATAAGCGATTCAGATGGCTTGTCTAAAAGCAAAAAGGATGTTTTCATTACAAATAAGCAAAGCAATAATGAAAAACTTGTTTAAACCTTAGCCCTTTGAATAAATTAAACTTGTGCATGAAGGATATATTTCTGTCATGAGGCATCATAAAAATACTTGCCTAATATTTAACTTTGTCCAAGTATGTGTGTGTGAATATTAAAATATGTTTGAGCAGAAATTCCTTTATGCTTGCATGCGTTGCTAAAACATAGACTGTGAGGAGTGCTAAAGAGAGAGATAAGACAAAAAAAATTAAATTAAATATTTAGTGCTCTAAGTAATCAAGTTGTCCTGAAAAATAGTCAAATAAGTGGTTGTATGACAGGTAAATTTGTAACTATATAGTTCATGAGCACAGGAAGAATGGAGCTTGTTAGCCAGTTTTTCATGATGCGTGGGGCAAGCATGTGTGCAATATTGCTGTTTGAGTGTAACTGTGCGTTGAGATAGCAGAGGCGTCAGCTGGATTACCTCTCAGGAATGTACTGGCAATATTTTTGTGAAAAGGCCTGACTGCCAGCATGTTGCTCACTTAGAGTCAGTGCCCCCAACTTGACAGACACTATTATTCGTTCTTTTCTCTTTGGGAAAAGAATGAAAGAGCAATGAAAGGTGACAGAGTATTCTTTTTTTCTTTTTTAATAAAATTAAATTACTTGGGGGAAAGAAAAGTACATACAGACAACTCTGTGTTTAACTGGAATTTTTACTTTATATTTTATATATAAAGTATGTTTATATTTTATTTTTTTTGTTTGTTTCAGTACAGTAGATTTACTTCCAAATAGGTACTAAAGTTTACACTTACCTGTTTGGGGCCTGTGCTTGACTGTATTTATATGAACAAGCCAACTGACTTGTCAGTGGGTTAAGTGGTATTTCTTTTGGGAGTAAAGGATGCCGGGCTGGCTCTTAGTTATGGAGGTGAAACCTATATTTATACAATGATCGGCAGCAATGTAATGAACGTTTTTATGAATTAAGCTTCAAAAAGGTTTCCCAACATGGTTTAAATGCTCCTTAAGCCTGAGGATAGCCTTCAGTAGCAGAGTACATTTGACTGCAGTACCTGGGTTCTGTTCTTCACGTTTATACTAGTTGTCACTTTACTGAATTCAGTGGTGCAGCGTCAAATTTACAGCAGCATAAGGTGATGAGCAAGAATTGTCTCTGTACGTGGCTCTGCTGGTTTTATCAGAGGAAAGATTGTCTCGGTGCTCCATAATCTATTTCAGCTAAAACAGTTGATAAACACTGTTAGAACTAACCCTGTTAGTTTTCCCTGAGGTGCATTAGGGGACATTCAGGTAATTTTTTCCGCTATCAGAGCAGTGCAGGTAAGTAGCTTCCAGCTAGTGAGAAATAATGAGCTGCTGGGAGCGCTGACCTCTCCAGCCATCCCAGCTACATCCAGAAGAGGATGCCTGTTTACAGTTTAAACTGGAGGCAAGAGCTGACTTAGTGTATTCCAACCAGAAAGCATTTAACTGGTATTTATATACCTGATTGTTGCTGTAGTCAGTAATATTTATTTATGTATTTCTACTTTAATACAGTATTTTTTTATTTAAATATAATATTTTGATTGCCTTGTAGAAAATATATTTTAATATGCGTGATTAGCAGAATCAATGATATTTCACAGTAGTTTTATTTACATATTTTTATGAAGTAAGCATAATATAAGTGAGTAATTTTTTTGGTGGTACTTTTATCATTACAGAATGCTGAGGCCTGGAACAATTTATCAACTGCTTATATCAGATTAAAACAGAAGTAAGTACTTCAAAATGATTAGAAGATACTGCTTCCAAAATAAATAATTGGGACTTCCTTTTTTTTGACATTGAGTTTTTTATTCTTATAATGTGGTTACCCCATATTTTGTAACACTTATCCCTTCGGTTCTCTCTCCCAGGTTGGATCATTGATAACCTATTTCATTTTGCAGGAAATAATTTCATAAGCTTTATAAAAGTAGCAACCTCTCACCCTACATTTTTTTTCTTGTTAAAAGTATTTATGATGTAGTAAGTACAAGCAGCGCAAAACATTCATATTAAAGTTGGAAACTAATTTGACTATGAAGCTAAAAGGATATGTTCATTTCAAGCAAGCTATATATTCAGACCTATGTCAATTTATACTGGAGTAATCTCAGTAGTAGATTTAAGGGGAAAATAGGCATTTTTTTTTTATTTTTTTTTAGATTATGAAAGCAGATGGAGATTTGCACAAATAATAGCTTGCTTGTTCTTTTCCTCCAAATTAATTGTTAGTACAAGAAGCTTTGACCTAAATGGGACTGCCTTTCTTGTTCTGCATTTCAACTCCGTGTAATAAAAGTTACTTGTAGACACAGAATACCTGAAAGAACTTAACATTGAAGAAGAATCATCACATTATAACTTGTTCACAAAGAATGAAACAAAAGAAGATAAATATTTAAAAACCTTACTCAAAATTGGACATCAGTTTATCCAGTTATGCAGTCCAGAAGCAAACTAAAAAAAAAAAGAAAAAGAATAATAAATTACATAGAAGAGTAAATTGATAAACATACAAAGGAAATGTGGGAAGTAATATCATAAATTAATTCAGGAGTTGGTTTGATATGCTACTGGGAGAAGACAGGAAAAGAAAATGAAGGTTACAATTACCCAAGACTAAAAAGTAGTAGAAATCAAGAACTTCTTTTAACTTTTCAGTAGTTGCTTTCATCTTCAGCAGTACCTTCAGAATGCCCAATTTATTGTTTTAGATTGTGTGTGATAGATTGGTCCTTCCTTTGCATAGAGTTCAGAAGGGTATTTCAGATGCTCAGTGTACTGGCTTATGCTTGTTTCATAAAAGTATCTTTAATCGAAGTAATTTTTCTGTTTCTTCATCTACCACAAGGCTGAGAAACTACTGAGTGATCCATTTCACTTTATTGGTTTAATTTTATTATTGTTAATCTACTCCTGTGATTTAACATTCTAAATACATACAAAACTTGTGACCTACTTGATATTGTATCAAAATTGTAGCATAAACCAGACAATATAATATGCATAAGTCTTTTTGAAAAGTGTATGCGAACAACTTGCTGACACCCAAACAAAAGGGGTTCTGTTGGGTTTTGAGTTTGTTTGTTTTTTCAGAGTCCACAAGTTTTGTGTATTCTTAATTTCCTCTAGAAAAATTAATTGTGATGAAAACAGACTCTTTGGTTTACCAGAAGAACTTCTCTGGGTGCCAGGAGGCCTTCGAAATCTAGATCTCATATTTCTCAGCACAAACTGGGACTGGCCCTCTGTCCTTTGGTGAAAGATTCCTGGTTTCCAAGACAGGATGATGCACTGGTACCGCGTACTGTTTCCTGTTTGGATATTAGTTGATTTAGCTATTGCCCTGGTTAAGGATACTCCATCATTATATGACTTATTAAATATGCAGGGGATTTGTTTTGACAGTCTAAAGGACTTTATTAGCATAGCAAGAGATTTGAGGAATACGATTTCTATCCCATCCCTCTGGTATCTTCTCTGCATTTCAGATTTCCATCTGACTGGTATCTGCGCTCTTGATAATTTATGAACTTTTTTGAGAACGTGGGGGAGATCATACAGGCTAATACTGCAGCTGTTGAAGAGCAGTTTCAGAAACAGTTTCTCAAGGTGACTGGGATACATCAATCAGCCAGAGCATCTTCCAGCCTGTCAGAGAGCTGTGGCAGATCCCAGCTTCCATTGTAGCAAAATTCACAGAGGAAGGAGCAGGTCTCTCTTCTTTTCTAATATAATCAAAACCGGGGTCTGAAATCCCTTACTGAGACTGTTAACAGTGGAGGAGAGACCCAACTGTTAGTATGTCTACTCAACAGCATCACGTATATCAGAAGAGAGAGAAAAGGGGAGTGAACATGGGAAAACCCTGCCTGTGGGCTATTCTGCCATAGCTATGCCAAATGACCTTCAGTAATTTTGCTCTATCAGTCAGCTCTCTTTGCATGTATTGAGTAACTCTTTTAATACTGTGGGCTTAGATTGGCAACTATTTACATTTTTCCCTAACCCAGCCATTCCAAACTTTTAATGGCCTGATTCACCAGTTAGATTTTCTCTTTTCCTGGCTGGGATATTTACACTCTCCTGGACCCTCTATTTGAAACTCAACCAACAATTTCTTTGAGCTGTCTTTCTTTAGAGACAGCACTTTTAGCAACTTACTCAAGCAATAGGGGAAGTGAACGTCAAATTTTGATAACGAGCCATCTTTATATGATTTTTATTAAGAAGAGATTTATTGTCCTACCTCCCCAAAGAAGATTTTTACCAGCCTGGGAAAGCTCTGTTTCAGGTTTTCATTTAAAGGAATTTATTCTTTGTTTTTTCTACATACCATGATTGTCCAGCTGAGAGTGAGCTTCAATCTCTTAAAATCCTAAGAACCATGTCATTCTGATTCTCTAGCAAAGCTTTTTTTAAAGTTTCGAATTTATTGAAACTTTTGGCAGTATGTTTAAAGCTTTGAACAGTAGGCACCCAGACCTTACCAACATATGCTTCAGATTGTGTTAAGACTTCTTACTCCTTCTGCCTCCTCTCTGGCAGCATTGGTTGCATGCCGTGCAGGAGGTCGTACTTCTGTAAACTGTAGGTCAGCTGCTTTCAGTCCATATTCTTGATTTGGCCAAACTGTCTTATGTTCTTTACCAGACAATGCCATTATATCTTTCTTTGAGTAAGAGAATGGTAAAGAGTTGCCTGCAGTGGATCCATATGAAAAATCAAGATGCTTCCTGACTTGCCTGTGACTTTATAGGAACTCTTCTGTCCACCTTCCACAACACTTTCTCCTGCCACCGTGAGATGGTTCACTGGGCAGCACCTTTGCTGAAGGACCCTAATAGTATTTGGGGCCACTCTGACACATTTATACTGAGCAGCGTGGTGTCGGAGAACAGAACGTATAAGTAAAGCTTCCAGGTGGCATAAGAAAAAAAAATGATAGAAGATGCTGGCCTTCTGTGCAATGGGTATGCACATTTACCGCGTGCAAATGTTTTAAATAAATCACATAAAGATGATACTGTTAAATAATCTTCATTTGTGTGATGAAATGGGTCAGTATCATTCTGTATCTGCCATTCACCAAGGGGAAATCATGCCTGACCAATCTGATAGCCTTCTATGATGGCATGACCGGCTGGGTAGACAAAGGGAGAGCGGTGGATGTTGTCTACCTTGACTTCAGCAAGGCTTTTGATACTGTTTCCCATAACATCCTCATAAGGAAGCTCACGAAGTATGGGTTGGATGAGTGGACAGTGAGGTGGATTCGGAACTGGCTGAATGACAGGGCCCAGAGAGTTCTGATCGGCGGGGCAGAGTCCAGTTGGAGGCCGGTAGCTAGCGGAGTTCCCCAGGGCTCGG